AATGGACGTCAAGTGCTACCTCATGCAACAGCCTTTTCTACCTCACATGTCAAAGCCCAGTTCAAATGTGACCGCCATGGAACTTCCTAACCTGCTCCAGGCCAGACTGTCACTCATTCTCCATAATACCATCATTTATCTATTGATCTATTACCATTCCTGAGCACCCGGTACATGCCAAGCACTGTTCTAGGTGAAGGTACAGTGAATGAAACCAAAAATCCCTGTGCCCTGTGGAGCTGGCAGAAAGAGACAAAGTTTGTGAAATGGTTGTTAAGGGCTAAAGCATAGCCACACAGTAGAACATGCCAATGGGGGGGGGGGGCAATTCTAAAGTGAAAGTCATGGAAGTTCTCACTGAAGTTAAGTTGAGCAGGAATTGAAATTGTCTGAACTATGGAACATCCATGAGAGATGTCAAGTAGGTTTTGAATAATGGGTCTGGAGTCCAGAGAATAGAGTCCAGGTAGATAAAGCAGAGGTGGAGATCATGAAGAACCAGAACCTCAGACTAAGGTGTGGCTGCTAAACTAGGTGAAACCTCAGAGTATGAGATCTGTCCTAGAAAGCAAAACTCTGTTCATTTTCTATTGCAGTTGTTAACAAATTAACACAAACTTAGTGGCTTAAAACAACATAAATCTATCATCCTACATTCTGTAGGATGTCCCACATGGGCCTAAATCCTGGGCAGGCTGAGTTCCTTTTTGAAGACTCTAAAAGAGAACGTTGCCTTGCTTTTTCCAGATTCTGGAGGCCCCCTTCCTCTATCTTCCAAGACAGCAACACTGCATCTCTCAGACCATTCTTCCTTAGTCCCATCTCCTTCTGATCTCAGCCAGGGAAGATTCTCTGCTTTTAAGGACTCACGCAATTAGACTGGACTCATCTAGATAATCCAAGACAATCTCCCCATCTCAAGATCCTTAACCACAGCCAGAAGTCCCTTTTACCATGCAACATATTTACAGGTTCCAGGGATTTAGAGTATGAACATGGGGTAGTGGGTTGGGAGGCATTACTCCTCCTACCACAATAAATGAAAGCATTTCAAAGAGTGATTATGTCATATGCTAACATGTCAAAAAAAAAGTTAAGGATTAAGAACTGACCATTGGACTGGGGCACCTGGGTGACTTGGTCAGTTAAGCGTACGACGTCAGCTCAAGTCATGATCTCACCGTTCTTGAGTTCGAGCCCTGCGTTGGGCTCTGTGTGGACAGCTCAGAGCCTGGAGCCTGCTTCGGATTCTGTGCCTCTCTCAAAAATAAACATTAAAAAAAAAAATTTGACCACTGGATTAAGTACCACAGAGGTTCTAGTGATCTTTACGTGGGCAGTTTCAGTGGAATCAAAATCTTCATTGGAATGGGTTCAAAAGACAAAAGTAGAGTGTACAGTTACATAACTCTTTTGAGTTTTGCTATAAAGAGCAAAGGGGATGAGTGTGGGTCAAACAGGATTTTAACATGGAAGAAATAATAGTACATTCAAAGGCTGACGGGAGTGATCTAGCAGAGGTAAGTTAATGAACAGAAGGAAGAATGGCTGGATCTGGGCCCTTTGAACAGTGATGGAATCTAGTACACAAGTGTTAGAGCTTGCCTGAAGAAGGGCCAGGACAATCTGTCCATACAACCAAAGGAAAGACGGAGCATACAAGCAGAGATGCATGTAGGTAAGTAGAGATGCCATCAGGCAGGAGCCTGCGGAAATTTCCTTGTTTCTATTTTCTTAGTCTGGGCGGGGGAGGCCGCAAACAGAGAAGGGGGAAAGAATTAACATTTAAGTGTTCTCGGGGAAAGTCAAGGAGTAAATAAATCAAAGAGAGAAATGAAGCAGGATTGTCAGACGGTACCAAGGTCTATCTAAGGTCACGACTTTAAACACAGACACGGAGTCAGCGTGTCCAGTTGCACAAGTGCACATGTGCAAATAAGGGGGCGGACTGAACTTCACCAAAAATGGAGGTTAGCCAGGCAAGTAAAATGAAGCAAGAGATGCGGCAGGGCAATTTGCCATCTAGCCAAGTGAATGGAACAACAGCCCACTGAATGGAAGCTAGATAATGAAGACCAGAAGGTGGGAACTTTAAAACAGGGAGGAGGCTCAATGAACTGTAAGTCACACAGTACTGTATCTGCTTACTCTGTTCTTAACATCTACAGATCTAACTCCTCTCCTAAACTAAGGTCCTCACAGTGCGAACAGTGTCTTGTCTTCTCGTCCTTACTACCCTAGCAGATAAGCTTGTTTTCTGAATGAATGGATGGATGCTGACCCATGGTTTGAAGGAAATTCCCCACCCCAGACCTAGGATATATAATGTTCCTCCTTCCTTACTGTTAAGAGTTCAAGTAAAAAGTTGCAATGCTTCACCAAAACCTATGGTATAAACAAATCCTTTGGTCCTAAAAGCCAGCAAGTTATTGGGAACCCACCTCTTCCCGAGTAGCTTAAAAAAAAAAAAAAAAAATCCCGTGGAATAAGATGCTGAATTCCTACAATGTTGTGTCCAAGAAGTGAACCCTGAAATGTACCAGATGTATCCCAACTGCAGTTAAGTTCGCTGTATTGAACACCTGGGTGGCATGAAATCTTTGAACTTCCCAGCCTCTAATTATTTCACCTCCTTGCAGTAATTAGCAGGATCCAAAACAGACCTTGAGAATACTAAGTTTTCTAAGGAGACATAAATGAAATTCAACCTGGGGTGGAGAACAATACACAGACAAAGAGCATGTAAAATATGTTTTATTGTTCTTTAAAAGGGTTCAGGGTTTGGTTTTAAATCAGGCTGCACACCTTTCATCAGTCTGACATCTCTCTCACCATGTCAAACTGGCTTCAGCTAGCAAGACTTCATTAAATCCAAAAGAAAAAAAAACTTTTAATTTTGAGGAAGAAAATCCAGTTCTGAGAACAATTAACATTAGTATGTAATTTAAAACAAAATGAGGGATAATGTTTCTTGTCGCTTTATACACCCTTCTCCTCATACAGAACCAGGAATGTAATTTTCCTAACTCAGGCAGGCACTGATACTGCTGGACACTGCACACACATACACACCCGACACATGCGTGCGCGCATACACACACACACACACACACACACACACACACACACACACTCCCCACAAACAACAAAAATCAGAGCATGTCAAAGGGAAAAAGTTTGTTATTGTATTGATCAAAACCCTTGGAGTCAACAGACAGTCTGAGTTTAGATGGTATGCTGTTTTGATCTTGAACCTACGTTAATGGAATCTATTGTAATGTTCTGAAATAAAGAATTTTGGAGAGTACCATCATTTTTCACTTTAAAATTCTAGAAACAATTTCAAAAAGCATTATTTTGTTTTGTTTTCAGGGATGGGGGAGGAGAGAACCTACATACTTTCATTTAGTTAAAAATCAGAACAACTCCGGCACAGGAAATAGGCAGTTCACATAGCCAGCCAACGTCTGAGGTATCATCAGTGTGAGACAAGGTCCCGGTCCATTCCTACTGGCCTAGCTGATCCTAAAAAAAATGGGAAGTTTATGGCTCTGCATAGCAAATTCCAGCAAGACAAGATGACCCTAAGCCTTTATTCAAATCCTTAGCAGCAGAGCACTATTAAGTAATGTTCAGATGAAGGGTGCAAGAGCCCCGGATGGTGTCCTTCAACTTGCTTTGTGAGTGCAGCCCGGTCACGACTGCTTTCTGCAGAAGAGCAGAAAAACAGCTTCTCTAGATCAGCACAATGAACCCAGCAAAGAATCTGTAAAACTGATACTACACCACTTCATCAACAACACAGTCCCTTTGCTATTCACTGGGTTGCTTTAGGTCTCTCTGCCACCCTGGATGGCCTGTGGACACATACTCACTAGGCATTGTTGGTTTTGAACCAGCAATTTTTTTTTAATCTCATAAAGAACCTAGTAAGAAAATAACAAGGCAATCAGTGGTTAAACTTAACTGTACATAGAGGGGGCAGTTTGGAAAATATGCATCACAGGCATTTCTCGAGTCCAAAATACCCCATCTTTGCTGTTAACTCCTTCCACCATTCTCAAAAATTCATAGTACGAGTAAATCCTGAATAAAAACTTCAAACTATCGGCATTCTCTGATAACATGAGACAGAAAATCAGAGTAATGCTACGACCCACAATTTTCGGTGATGTACAAAGTATGCTAACTCTCCGCCTGGACACACCTTTAGTGATGGCCTGGAGCGCTCCCTTTCAGAAAGCAAAAGTTTCTGGGATACCTACTTAGCTTCATTGGTTGGAAAAGAGAAGAATTCGACTCTCAGCTAAGTTCTCTGAGAAGAAAGACTCTTTTTAAAATGCCATTTCCCCACTAATTTACCAAAACAAAACCAAAACAAAAGGCTCTTGGCTACATTGCCTAATGTTGAATAGGGTTTTCAAGAAAAGAAACTAACATGAACACCCCATCATCAGTAAAGACTAAAAACCACCTGGATCATATAATATATATGCCACTGCTTTTTTTTTTTTTTTTTTTTTTTTTTTTTTGTGTGTGTGTGTGTGTTTTTTGTTTCTTTTTTTTTGTTGGTTTTTTTTTGTTTGTTTGTTTGTTTTTTCTAAAAGTGCCCAGGTGGGCTTAAGGCTGCCAGACTGCACACACGTCTACAGCAACAAGGGCTTCTCCTATTCCATCTACAACTTGTATCGGGGGTGGGGGGTGGGGGGGATGGGGAAAGAAGAGAAGAGAAAAATATACGCCCACCACCACCAAAAAGAAAAAGAAAGAAAGAAAGTCCCACAACAGGGAGACCTATGTGCCAAGCATAATGGAAAAGTGTGCTCCCCAAACAGATGGTTCTGCACAGGCTAATGTTCTGCTGGTTTTCCTTAGAGACCTAGTTTGAAAAGTTAAAAAAGACAGGAGATTTTGATATAATTCAATTCTGACAGAAATTCAAACTCCAACAATTAGGAGCAAACTCATCCTTCACTGAATTAATCCCTTTTTTGTTTCTCTTTTTCTTTTCTTAAACATTTTATTCATGTTATAGAGGGATTTCTTTTTTGCTTTTTTCCAATCATTAGGAGAGTGGTTGAGGAGTACTGAATCCATCGCTACTTTGGTGACACAGTTAAGATTCCAGATTCACATTTCCAGGTACCAAGAGTTCCCTCTAAATGCACAATCAAGTCAGCCTTCGTTTACACTTCTTTCTACTGAACACAGCAGTGCCCATTGGTGTCTCTGACACGCAATCGCATCTTAGGTCGGTATTTCTCCAGGTAAAGCAGCTGTTTGGAATTGAATGCTCCCCTTCTTTTTCTGAAAATACAAGAATGACAAACTTTATCATGTAAAAAAGCTATCTGATTCACTGAAATGCATTATTTATGGCCTAAGGCTTTTCTAACTTCACGCTGTGAAAACCAGCATATTCCTTGTACAGTATCACTTCTTAAGAGAAGGGGCTGATGAATGACCAAGTATTAAATGAAGCAGCAGGCACAGATGGCATTCCTTGAAATATGCCACCTTCCTAGAGCTGCTACCATACATTTCATGACCTCTTGTCACAGTCTTTTCTTTTCTTTTTCTTTTTCTTTTTTTTTTTTTTTTTTAAAGAAAAGGCTGAAAGGGAAAGGACAAGGTATTAACTGCCAAAGAATTCTGGACAACAAAATAACATGGCCCATTATTCCAGACTGATGCCAAGATTCTGTCTGGGCACTACCATCCCGATTTTGTGCCTGAACAGGTCACTTAAGATTCTTAAGTGATTAACTGCTCCTCTATAGATTCTTCCTTGCCTCTTGGTCATAGTTGCACTTGGAAGGTGTTTTGGACATCCACTAAAAGAGTCACTCGATCTCTGAGGCTCTACTACCTATTCATTTTAAAGATTCCTAGATATTCAAGTCATATTGGACAGATTCTTTAGCGTCCAAATTTGCCACCTAACTTAAAAAATCTTTAAATGTGGGAGCCAACAGTACTATTACAAGTTTATCACTTTTGATTTCTTCGATCAAACAGTATTTTAAACCAACAAGTTACTCCATACTACAAAAGGGTACTTTCCGTAATTCCTTCTTCTTGTATGGTCTTGCTTTATGTGTTTCTGAACATAAAACTTCCTACTCACTGTCTTATAAACTGAACTGCATCTTCATACTTCATTCCACATTCAATCAAAGCAAGTGCAACCAGCACGGGTGCCCTATAGAGAGAAACGCATCTGTAAATATCCACAAGTCTTTGGAATTGAAGGATTTTTTTTTTAACCCAGGATTACATATTACCAAAACAACATGAAGTTTGAGCTTCCCTTTTTTTCCGTGTACTAAAATAGCTGCTATTTTCCTTACACAAATGTCTGTATCATGATAAGGTCTATGGTGTTACCCACTTTTAGTAAAGCACTAAATTCTACACCTCGTTAAGAGATCTTTATTTAAAGCACCATCACATTAGATCTCAAATTTTCACATTATATGTCATCAAAAATTCTTCATTGGCCTTTAACCAGTACTGTAGCAAAATAAGTGAACAAGTGTGTCATCCATACTAAGCATCTCAGAATTTTCATTACAAATCCATTTTAATATCATTTCCTCAACAAATACTAAAGAGGTGCTACATTTCTTCAACAAAATCCTTTCCGTGAGCTACGAGAGTGTCAGAAAATTGGTATTTACAAACAGTTTTCTATATAAGTATCTCTTTTTTTTTTTTTTTTTTTTTAACATCTAACAAGGGACGTTGAGGCCTGAGCAGGTCCCAACCTGTCCTTGGTTTGGAGATGCTATCTGCCTCATAAAGCAAAGGAGAGGGTTAGTCTTCTGGGAAGACAAAGTTGTCTCCTCTGAAAAAGCCTCCTACATAGTTGGATTTGGCATCTTCCAGGAATGGGAAGGCAGGGATTGGGGCCTAGGGAGTCTGTGTTTTCAGCTGAGGGAGAGACAGAAGACTGGATCCTGATCAGAGAGTCCAGAGTGAGATATAGTTACCTCCAGGACTCGTTACTGTGAACCCAGCTTGGGCTTCATGACAGTCACAGAAGCAGACTCCTTAACAATAAAATAATACACACAAAAAAAATCTAACAAGGGAAATGATGTTTGAAAATGTCTACTACCTGGGATCGCAAGCTGGTACAGCCACTCGGGAAAACAGCATGGAGGTTCCTCAAAAAACTAAAAATAGAACTACCCTACAACCCAGCAATTGCACTACTAGGCATTTATCCACGGGATACAGGTGTGCTGTTTCGAAGGGACACATGCACCCCCTATGTTTATAGGCGCACTATCAACAATAGCCAAAGTATGGAAAGAGCCCAAATGTCCATCGATGGATGAATGGATAAAGAAGATGTGGTATATATAGACAATGGAGTATTACTCAGCAATCAAAAAGAATGAAATCTTGCCATTTGCAACTACGTGGATGGAACTGGAGGGTATTATGCTAAGTGAAATTAGTCAGGGAAAGACAAATATCATATGACTCCACTCATGAAGACTTTAAGAGACAAAAGAGATGAACATAAGGCAAGGGAAACAAAAATAATATAAAAACAGGGAGGGGGACAAAACAGAAGAGACTCATAAATATGGAGAACAAACAAAGGGTTACTGGAGGGGCGTGGGGGGGGTGGGCTAAATGGGTAAGGGGCACTAAGGAAATCTACTCCTGAAATCACTGTTGCACTATATGCTAACTAATGTGGATGTAAATTTGAAAAAATAAAATTAAAAAAAAATTAAAAACTATATATATACAAAATTGCAACAAGAAAAAAAAAATCTACTACCTGGCACCAACTTTGGACTACCTGCTAGAATAGGTACTAGTTACAAAACTGCCAAGTCCAGTTAGAACACTACCTTCACCCTCAGAATAAAGACTGAAGCTTCTGACCCTGAAGAAGAAACTGTAAGACACGGATATGAAAAAAAAGGAAAACAGCAAACAAAAGGGCTAAGCAGAGGTAACAGCCTGAGTCACCACCACCTTGAGGCAAGAGCAGCCTGCACTAATGTTCTGAGTCAAAGTGCACGTCATAAACTGGCATTTAATCTGCTGCCGATGAGAGTGTTGCGGCACCATTCCACACAGTGCTCCAGGAAAAAGGCTTTGAAATCAACATCATTTTTCATTCTCTCTACATCTCCTTTCAGGAGTTTGAAGTTCAGCCATCTTCTCTCCACCTATTAACTTCCCATTCATCTCAATCCAAAATTAACCCCATATAGATTCTTCAAAATCTAAAATTATTTTCATTTTGTTGCCTATTTCAAAGACCTAAGCCTTTGAATATGTGAAATAAGGGGGCGCCTGGGTGGCTCAGTCAGTTAGGCGTCCGACTTCAGCTCAGGTCATCATCTCACGGTCCATGAGTTCGAGCCCAGCATCAGGCTCTGTGCTGGCAGCTCATGGAGCCTGCTTCAGATTCTGTGTCTCCCTCTCTCTCTGCTACTCACCACTCACACTCTCTCAAAAACGAATAAATATTTTTTTAAAAATTGAATATGTGAAATAAGGAGAAGGAAAAAAATACTGAATTAAGACCATATTTTTTTTTTTTAATTTTTTTTTTTAACGTTTATTTATTTTTGGGACAGAGAGAGACAGAGCATGAACGGGGGAGGGGCAGAGAGAGAGGGAGACACAGAATCGGAAACAGGCTCCAGGCTCTGAGCCATCAGCGCAGAGCCTGATGCGGGGCTCGAACTCACGGACCGCGAGATCGTGACCGGAGCTGAAGTTGGACGCTTAACCGACTGCACCACCCAGGCGCCCCAAGACCATATTTTTTTTAACTCAAATAAGATAATTACATTGAATCAGTTTCAAAACAATTTCTGAGTGATCATCTACTAAACCTATTATGGCATTAGAATCAGACAACCAATGAAACACAAAAAGCTGTCTCAAGAAATCTACACCAGTTTTTGCTCTCATTTCCTTTTCTTTCAGGCAATTTAATATTTAGTGTCATAAATACAAATTTCTACCAAAGTGAAGTTTTTGATAATGAATTCACAGACAAAAAAGGAAGAGCTTACCTTCCCAATCCTGCAACACAATGCACTGCAACACAGCAACCTGGCTCTTCACGAAATTTGGTTTTTAACAGGTTCAGCCAATCGTCTACTATCTGATTAGGGGGTGGTGCTCCATCATCAAATGGCCAATCCTGGAAAGGAAAGATCTTTTACATTAAATTGTTATTTTCTCCAGGATAATATCTAATGCAGAATAGCTGCATAGTACACAGCGGGGATTTAAGTGAACTAACTGTACTTTATATACCTATTCTTAATACTGCAATTCTGATCACTATTGAAAAATGATCCAAGACCAAAATTCCTTCTCAAATACATGAAGTCAGCACTGTAAACATCTAATTTTATCTTATGGAGATCTTTTATCAGAGTGATGAGAAACCAGTGTTCCTCAAATATTTTATCTGAATAAAGCAGTAATTAGACATAATAGAGAAAACTATAAAACCGAGACAAAGTAAGAGAGGATAAACACCTGTCAGTATGATGTAAATGTCCACTCTGGCAAAGAATACCATCTGACCTGTACAAATATTTTGAGGATTATCCCCTCAAATAGCTCTAAGTTATGATGTCTTTCCTTTAGAGGAAGACTCTCAAGAAATCACCAGTAGTTGGCATATCGTAACAGAAATATACTACCATCTTTGTGCTTATATATTAAAAAAAAAAAAAAAAAAAAAAAAAAAAAAGCCAAGTAGCAAATATTTTTAAAAGTTCTACCTAAATTATACATATCCCATTTAACAAGCACAGTACCAGATGATAGGGTCCTGAGCAAATGGAGAACTTTTTCTTAAGTATCCCTTTCTCTTTATATTCGCCAATTTGTGCATTTTTAGTTTTTAGTTTTTTGTTTTTTAAGTAATCTCTACACCCAAAGTGAGCTGAAACTCACAATCTCAAGATCAAGAATTGCATGCTCTACTGACTGAGGCAGCCAGGTGCCCCTTAGGTTGCTTTTTAATTAAGACCAACCCCATGTGCATTTATCATATAGGCAGAGGTTTATCTTCCTTTCTCCCTAGCAAAAGACCTAAGAAACCAACATAAATCAGCTTTAAAGAAAGAGGGGAGGGGTGCCAGGGTGGTTCAGCTGGTTAAGTGTCCAACTCTTGATTTCGGCTCAAGTCGTGATCTCGAGATACATGAGACCGAGCCCAGCAATGGGCTCTGCTTGGACAGCGAGGAGCCTGCTTGGAATTCTCTCTCTCTCTGCCTCTGTCCAGTTCACGTGCATGGTGCACACTCTCTCTCTCAAAATAAATAAACTTTATTAAAAAAGAAAAAAAAAGGGGGAAGGGAATTCACATTTTGCAGTCTCTCTCTTCCATCTAGCTTCAAGGACAGAAATGCAAAAACACTGGGAATTTTTTTTAAACATAAGATTATCCTAATGAGATTGGATAAGGACACTTTAAGACACTAGAGAAAGTAAAAGAGAAAAGTGACAAAACACTAAATTGATTCTACACTCATGGGCACCACTAGAACATTTCATGTAGCCCATTAGCAATGACAACACATTATGTTTGATTTGTCAACTACACCCCATTATTAAATGGCTGTCAGTGTTGCCATTAAAAATGTCACCATAGAGTTTAACTGTAAATAGCAGTAAAACAAGTTAGTGCCTTAGTTGAGAGCTTATTTCCTCTAATACTTCCTAAAATGTGCCTAGTTAAGTAACAGTAATATGAAATATGCTTCACTTACTCATATAAGCAGTCTCTACCAAAAAAATCATTAAAATAATTTAGAATGGTCTGAACTTCAAACTGATGGACATAAATGAAACTACCATTATTAGTCTTTTCCAATATGCCTCTGATTTGTAAGAACATTAGTCAAAGGATTTGAAAAGTCTTATTTTGGGGATATGCCCTTATAAAGTGTTCCAAACTCTCCTCACCTACCAAAAGTAGATTAACGATCCACTTAAAATCTCTGTCTGGGAAAAGGAAAGAAATTCCAAGCTTAATTCTAAATGTTCTGGTTTTTTATAAGCTTAAATTAGACCTTTAATTTTATCTGATCACAGCTATTTGAAACAAAAACAAAACAATAGCCTAGATTTAAGGGCCTAACATAAATCCCAGCCCTACCATTATCTTCTACAAACTAGTTCAAGTTCTTTAGTTCATTTCTCTTTCATAAAGGTGTTTACCAACATTACTGATTCAAACAGACTATGGTCAACCCACAGTTCATTTTCTGACCCATGCCATCTGTCAAAAACGGATTTCTCATCTGGCCACTGGAGATCATACTCACAACATAGGAAAAAGAACTTGTATTCAGCCTAGTTTCAGAAAAAAAAAATTTTTTTTTTTTTTTAACACAGGGCTACATTTTATACAAGTTTCTACTTATTCCACAGTGATTTACAGCCAGAGGACCTTAAAATCACTTAGAAATGGGAATGCAAGCAAATTATTACCATGCCATACTATTAAAATACATTTTTTTTTATAACATAATGCTTGGGGGCACCTGGGTGGCTCAGTTGGTTAAGCACCTGAATTTTGATTTCAGCTCCGGTCTTGATCTCATGGTTTGTGGGACTGAGCCTCAGGTGGGGCTCTGTGCTGGCAGCGCGGAGCCTGCATGGGATATTCTCTCTCTCTCTCTCTCTCTCTCTCTGCCCCTCCCCAGCTTGTGCGCAAGTGCACATATACTTCTCCCTTCTCCCTCTCTCTCAAAATAAATAAGCATTAAAAAAACAGGGCGCCTGCATGGCTCAGTTGGTTAAGCGTCCAACTTCGGCTCAGGTCATGATCTCACAGTTCAGGAGTTCGAGCCCCACGCTGGGCTCTGTGCTGACAGTTCAGAGCCTGGAGCCTGCTTCAGATTCTGTGTCTCCGTCTCTGTCTGCCCCTCCTCCACTTGCACTCTGTTTTTCTCTCAAAAATAAATAAACGTTAAAAAAAATTTTTTAAACAAAATAAAAAATAAATAAATGTTAAAAAAAAAACCTAATGCTTGGTTGTTTTGTTTTTATGTTTTCACCAAAATGAAGGCGAGGAAACTTTACAGATCAGATATGAGATAGCTGCCTTACCAAGAAGGCATTTATTTCCTTTGCAACTGACTTTCCAACCACGGATGACCAATGCATTAAGACTACAAAAGTACCTCTCAATAAATAACCTTGTACCAATATCTTCTTTATTACTTTTTTCCTAACCAAATACTTACAACACCACAGTGTCTTCCCACAATCAAATCAAATAGCTCTAAGACACCTAAGACTACAAGGTCATTTCATTACATGCTCTTGCAATTTAGACAACTATTTAGGGGAAAATAGCCTAATGCTCCTGTTTCTGATACATGAAATAGTGTATTTAGGGGCTAAGGAGGAACTTAAAATAATTCCAAGCACTTTATGCTCAAACTGAGCATAAATAAATCTAATCACACATGAGCTTGTTAGAAGCCCACCAAAACGTGTCAGAACCTATGCTGATTACTCTAGAGCAAGATGCCTTCTCCCTCTCCCTTCTTAACCTCTTCTCCAACCTTTTTTTCCCCTAAGTTATCCACAAAACATTAAATAACAAATAGTATTTGCAAAGTGAGACAGAATACAGCTGACCCTCAAACAACATGCATTTGAACTGTACAGATCCACTTACATGCAGATTTGTTTTCAATAAACAGAGTACGGTACTTTAACGTATTTTCTCTTATTTTTTCTTAATGAAATTTTCTTTTCTCTGGCTAGCTTTATTGTAAGAATATAGTACATGATACCTATAACATACAAAATACGTGTTAATGGACTGTTGATGTTATTAGTAAGGCTTCTGGTCAACAGTAGGCTTATTAGTAAAGTTTTGGGGAAGTCAAAAGTCATATGTGGATTGGTGTCTCTAACCCCACATTCAAAGGTCAACTGTATTTCCATGTGACTTAATTCCTGATGGAAATTACTTTCAGCTAGATTCACAACAGTAGCCTAGAAACAAAAACTAAATATTGCAATAATTTCCTAGAGAAAACAAAATCAAATTTCCATTTTCTTGAAATAAGTGTACATTAAATTTTGCTTTTCATTTGTTGAAAATACTTTGCATATATAGACTTTAAGGGCACAAATGAACAAAACTGCCAATCTAAAAAGTTTAAAAGACTGCTATCAACGTTGTACCTCCTATAAGCTTAAAAAGCATACTGAATGTCCAGTTTTCAAAACAGCTATGTTTAAAAGGTACTACTAGTAGTTCGTAATGAAAAATGAAAACACTACACACTCACTAGAACGTGGATTCCTTCTTTTTCAACTGGAGCTTTATCATATGTAGCATCACAAACTCGAACCAAAGTTGTCACTCCATACTTCTTAAGTTCCTTTGAAGAAAAACAAATATAAGGGAACTTACTTTTAGAATCTGCAACCAAAACTTTAAAAGCATACAATTACGAATTGAAGCAATGAGACATCATTCTCAAAGATCAAAATCATTCTCATTGTGGCAACATATAGAATGGACACTCAAGTTCTTAACGGAAGCATCACTATGATTCACCTTTATAAAGGGCAGTTTGGTAACCTGTCACAAAACCTTTGAAAGCACACACACACTATGACCTAGAAATTCTACCTCTGAGAATTTATAGTAACAAAGTAATTAAATATACACCCAAGACTTAGGTACCAACACGTGCAGCATGGGCTGTTTGGAATGGTAAAAAGGTAGAAACATTAATGGTCCAAAAACAGGGGAACAGTTAAAGAAAGTATGGCATGGGGCGCCTGCGTGGCTCAATCAGTTAAGCGTCCGACTTTAGCTCAGGTCATGATCTCGCGGTCCACGAGTTCGAGCCCCGCGTCAGGCTCTGTGCTGACAGCTCAGAGCCCGGAGCCTGCTTCGGATTCTGTGTCTCCCTCTCTCTCTGACCCTCCCCCTGTTCATACTCTGTCTCTCTCTGTCTCAAAAATAAATAATAAAATATTAAAAAAAAAAAATTAAAAAAAAAAGAAAGTATGGTA